ACCCCCACCCCACATGTTCCAAACAGGACTCTTATCTCTCACATATTCTCACAACTTTCGGTTCAGCTATCAAGGTTCATCTGAGACTGACCAAAACCTAGCAAAAAAAAAAAGTAAAAATTGATTTTGCAGAAACTTTAATTGATCCACCTTTTATATCACAATACCTCCCTGTTGGGATTCCAGTCAAATAAACTATCAAAAGGTAGTTGGAATCTTAACGTTTAATAGAACGAACAACTTACAGTGCAAGCGAATCCTAGCACGAGGTAAGACTAACTTGATTGGCTAACTGGAGTCAAATGACAACAAGCGATTGGGTGACAATAACGTTACACTTCCTTTGCTAGAAAATGATGACAATAAAATAACAAAATGAAATTCTCACCTCTTTTTTTCTCTTCCAGCGAGAGCTCATCATGTCCAAGTAGATAGGAGAGTTTGGTGAGCGCTGCCTCAACCGTCATATCGTTTCCTCAGATTACACCAGGTTCCACCAAAACCTGACGTGGAGACAAATACACCTTTCAGTTACTGTTATCTACTCGAATCAGGAAATAAATGGAGAATTTTTTCAATTAGAAATTAAAAGTAGTTGTAGAGATTTCCAACCTCGTTCCCAGGGCCTTTTCCCGCCCCACCCCCGACTAAGCGAAAAGGTCCTGGGAACGAGGTTGAGGGAGTTTGTTTGTGTTTTCATAATACAAAAGAATACCCAATGGTTTATTTGCATCTTGTTGGCCTTAAAGTGTTGCGCGAGAAGACTGTGAGACGGAAGAATGAGTAGCTTTGAAGCTCAGTTTTTGCGCCGGGTCGTCTTTGTTTGCATCACACACCCAATTGACTGCCAGCTTAGCAGGCTGGCATCTTATTGAATGTGAATACTGTCTGTTGTTTTTTACTTCGCTCTCCAAACTGTGTCACGTGTAAAAAGAGTTGCGGTGTGCTCTTCGGTTACTCCTTAATACGCTCTGTGATTGGTCCTAAGAAAACTCTCGCCATCCTCTCCACCAATCAGATGGAAAACAAAAAAAAACCACACATGACACAGTCACCAGTGCTTTCCCACGCTTCTAGCAATTCCTTTGCCCTTATCCTGAGTTCTCAAGGCCTCTTCGTGACATTTCTCCATACTGTTCTCTATACATTTGCTAAGGTGCTGACAAGGAAATTTTGTTTCACAACCAGGAGCTTCTTAAATTGGTGATCATCTCCTTTATTTTCATGACCTTTATACACCGAATGCAAATATGGCATCTGATTTGAATTGCCATTGTTCTGGACTGACTAGCCTCTCACACATGTAATAATCCTTTTGTGTTTCCACGTGAAGACGAGGTTAGTGAGTCCAGAACAATGGCAATTCAAATTGGACGCCATATTTGCATTCGGTGTATA